TTACTAGCTTCTCTGGCAGTGTGGATTGTAGGCTGGGAAACATTTACTCTTTGTCTAAAATCCACATATGAGTGAGTACATACCATGTTTGTCTTTCTGTGATTTGGTTAACCTTGCTCAGAATGGTTTCTTCTAGGTCCATCCACTTTTCTGCGAATTTCAAGATTTCATTGTTTTTTTTCTTACCTGAGTAGTACTCCATTGTATATGTACCACATTATCTCTATCCATTCTTCAGCTGAGGGGCATCTAGGCTGCTTCCAGTTTCTGGCTATTACAAATAGTGCTGCTATGAACATTGTTGAACAGATGTCCTTGTATGAATGTGCATTTTTTGAGTATATACCTAAGAGTGGAATTGCTGGATCTTGTGGTAGACTGATTCCCATTTTCTTGAGGAGTCACCATACTGATTTCCTAAGTGGCTGTACAAGTTGACACTCCCACCAGCAGTGGAGGAGTGTTCCCCTTTCTCCACATCCTCTCCAGCATAAACTGTCATTGGTGTTTTTGATTTTAGCCATTCTGACAGGAGTAAGATGGTATCTCAGAGTTGTTTTGATTTGCATTTCCCTGATGGCTAAGGATGTTGAACACTTTCTTATGTGTCTCTCAGCCATTTTAGATTTCTCTATTGAGAACTGTCTATTTAGTTCTGTACCCCACTTTTTAATTAGAATGTTTGGTGTTTTGGAGACTAGCTCCTTGAGTTCTTTTTATATTTTGGAGATCAGCCCTCTGTCAGATGTGGGGTTGGTGAATATCTTTTCCCAGTCTGCAGGCTGCCGTTTTGTCTTGCTGACTGTGTCCTTTGCCTTACAAAAGCTTCTCAGTTTCAGGAGGTCCCATTAATCAATTGTTGATCTCAGTGTCTGTGCGACTGGTGTTATGTTCAGAAAGCAGTTCAAGGGTATTTCCCACTTTGTCTTCTAATAGGTTCAGTGTGGCTGGATTTATGTTGAGGAATTTGATCCATTTGGACTTAAATTTTGTGCATGGCAATAGACATGGATCTATCTGCAGTCTTCTACATGTCCGCATCCAGTTATGCCAGCACCATTTGTTCAAGATGCTTTCTTTATTCATCATAGAAATTTAGCTTCTTTGTCAAAAATCAAGTGTTCATAGGTGTGTGGGTTAATATCAGGGTTTTCAATTCTATTCCATTGGTTACCTGTTTATTTTTGTGCCAATACCAAGCTGTTTTCAAGACTGTAGCTCTGTAATAGAGCTTAAAGCCATGGATGGTGATGCCTCCAGAAGATCCTTTATTGTACAGAGTTGTTTTGGCTATCCTGGGTCTTTTGTTTTTCGATATAAAGTTGAGAATTGTTCTTTCACGGTCTGTGAAGAGTTGTGTTGGGATTTTGATGGGGATTGCATTGAATTTGTAGATTGCTTTTGGCAAGATTGCCATTTGTACTATGTGGATCCTATCTATCCAAGAACATGGGAGATCTTTCCATTTTCTAGTATCTTCTTTAATTTCTTTCTTTAAAGACTCAAAGTTCTTGTAATACAGGTCTTTCACATTTTTGATTAGCATTACCGCAATGTATTTTATGTTGTTTGTGGCAATTGTAAAGGGTGATGTTTCTCTGATTTCTTTCTTCACCAATGTGTCATCTGTATATAGTAGGGCTACAGATTTTTTTGAGTTAATCTTGTATCCTGCCATAAAGTGCACCCTTAATATGAGTTTTTTAGATGGAGAGAGTATTTCCATGACCCAGTTAAGGTCAGTGAGCCAAAGTTGAGAGACCAGCATCCCCACATCTCTTGAGAGCTCAAAAACAGATATCTCTGGGACAGAGGGGTCATCACCCAGACTCCATCATCAAGAGTAGCAACCCCAGTGGATCCAAGACAGAACCTGGTACCTGTTGACCAGGTTTCCAGACAGTTAATAGCAGACACTGGGTTCCAACACTAAAAGTGAAAGGAAAGCTTGGCATCACAGAAAACTGAACAGAATGTGCTTACCAAAAGTATAGGAATTCACTGAGTTCAGGGGAAAACTCACCAATTATCCACTGTTGGATGGAGAAGGCTGGTGCCTGACGGTCTGAATATTCGAGAACTAGCTAAGGGAGGGAGTGTTCCTGAAGGCTGACCTGAGTCATGAAACCATATGAAAGGGAACAGTATCAATTCAGGAACCCCAAGACCAAGTTCTCAACATAAAGGAGATTTATTTGCCCTAGAAGGACAAAGGGCAGGGAATAAGAGACAAAGGCAGGAGATAGAAGACAAGAGAGAAGGGAAAAGGAACAAGGAAGATGAGGAAGGGGTATTTGTCCCAAGGAAACGAAGGATTGCCTCTGGATGAAAAGGAATCAAATTTAGCCCATAGGAAAATGGCAGTTTATAAAGGTAAAGGGGAATCCTCAGGTTAGGATGGGGTGTTTAATTTTAATAAGGCATGTTAATTAGGTGAACCAAAGGGGGCTTTTGATTGTTGGACTTCAATACTTTAATAGCTGGACCTTTGCAATCAGGAGGAAGACATGGCCAAATAAGGGAATACCTTTAGAAATATAATCTAAGGGCAGAAATATAATCTAAGGTAGAAAAAAATGGGAGAAATGGCAAGGTGTTCCAGAGCCATGTTTTCCATAGTCAAGCTGCCTAGGGTACTTTTATTGTACCTTTCGGGCCACAGCCAGGAAACCTTAGACACTGCTGATAAAACTGAAATAGCCTGCAGAGACATACCTGTTTTCCTAATGGCATCTCAAAAACACTGGGCAGTGGTGGCTCACGCCTTTAGTCCTGCCACTTGGGAGGCAAAGCCAGGCCAATCTCCGTGAGTTCAACACCAGCCTGATCTACAGAGTGAGTGCCAGGAGAGACTCCAAGGATACATGGAGAAACCCTGTCTCGAAAAACAAAACAAAACAAAAAGTGCTAAAGATGATTAATAAATTGTTCCTACTTAGGGCCCAAATCATTTATAACCCTGAGAGGTAACACTTCTCCGTCATTCAGAAACCTAAGCAATACCCCTCATCAATCCAACTTGCAGCTCACAAAGAGAAATTCTTAGAACATTTAACTTGTTTTAATTAGACCTTTCAGACAATGTAATTTAGCCTCGGGATTGCCTCCCAAGCCAAGACAGGAGCTAAAACTCTTGAGTTCTTAAAGAGTATGACTCAGTACTGTCCACCCACAGTTTCAGGCCACAGGCAAAGCCAACATGCACTTGAAGTTTAATTTTGTATTGAAGCATACTACATCCCACACATAGTCATATATTGCATATGTTTGACTGAACAGCTTTATACTCATGCATGTGCAGATGCAGATTGCATGAAAACACAAGGTCTAAGCTTAAAATGACTGACAAAGAGCCTACCTGGGAGACAAGATCAGAAAGGTAATGAGGATTATCACTTCTCGCTTAATACATTTATGAACTTATGTTAAATCTTTAATTGCATGCATTCTGATGATGAAATGAGGGTAATAGCATGTGGTATCAAATTCCTGTCACATTTATATTGGGTATGAAACATGTAGAAAGTAAAAGCATAAGAAGAAAAAGCACAATATGTTGGGAGAGGATAATGATATTCGGAACATGAGATTGTTGATGTGATAGCATATATTTATACTTGCATCTAAGTTGAGGACAAAGAATATTTGAAATTACAATTTTGTTGTTGTTCTCAGTAATAACAAAACTGGGACATGAGTTCCAACCCTAATGCCAATTCCCTCTTCTTTCTGACCCTTATATTCTACCTCTATAGGCTGAGCTGAGCCTCAACTCTTCTCTGCTTCAAATCTATGCCTCCTTTAACACGAGGTAATACTGAATACAGGAAGCTTTCTACCTCCTCCTCCTTCTCTTCCTCCTCATGGTCACTGTGCTGATCATTGGGTATACTTGCATGTACTTTGGGGACTCTCTTTCTTACCTGCATTGTGCCTGGTAATAAAAGGTTGAAACTAAGACAAAACATTTTTAAAAATGATAGTTATTGAGAATATACAGGAAAAGTTTTTGTTTTGATTTTTGTTTCCTCAAAGTAATTCTAATAAAATTTTAAGTCATTCATAAGATTGTTTATGAATGTATCTGAATAAATTCAAGTTAATCATGTAGAAGCACAACCCCCAAGTTCTTTTATATAAAATAAATGGATCCAAGATTCAGGAAGAAATTTTTAAATGTCTTAATGATTTTGTGGTTTCACCAAAGAAGTATTTTTCATAAAAGGCATTCCCAAGTGCCATGTTCATGGTAACGTTAGCAAAGGGAAAGGAGTCATATCAATGCGGAATCCTCCTAATGTTTGACCTTATATTTCCCTTTTGAACAAAAATTTTCTTAATCTGGATTCAAACCTGAAGTAATTATTGGTGACACCGAGCTGAAGAGCCTCCATTGCTTGCTCTTACTCAGTACATAGCATGATGAAGAAACAAAGGCACCTTGGAACATTGTCTTAATCCATTTTTACCTGCTTTATAAACAAAAGAAGGACAGGTAATCAGGGTGTGATGGAACATGCATGGAATCCCAGAATGTGGCAGGCAGAAGCAGAATGATGTGAAATTTAAGGTCTTATTCAGCTGCATAGAGTCTGAGTCCAGCCTGGATACCATGAGACCATATCAAAAAAGAGAAGTAAACTTCACAAACTGACCAGAAGTATCATGCTTTTATTTAAAACACACAAGGACTAAGTGATGCTGAATTTTATCTCACATTACAATAATTTTTCAGTTTTAGCTTTACAGTAAAATATATTAATAGTTTGCCATTAGATAAGAGTTAGCAATGCTAGAGACAATAAATCATTGGACAGCATAGGAAATTGCAGATGTGTTTGGGTGTGACCCTGAAAATTGTCCAGAATGGAAGATATAAATTCCCTGGATCTTAAGGAGATGAGGCAATGTGAGATGGGAGGCCAGAGAGACATGCCTAACAGAAGAGATCAATCGTGCCCCCGAGGAAGAGGCTGTAGAAAGAAGCACATGTTGTTCATTCAGACTGGGATGAAGCAAATCTGGAACTTGGGTGGCACAGCAATAAGACCACTGACAACTGGGGTGGTATCAAGGTCTTTTGGGTCAACTGGAGATTCCAGATGAAAGTTCTGCAAAATGGTGGTCAGGAATAAAAATAGCTCCATTCGGGCCAGGCCCTCTCCTACACAAATCCGTTTTCCTGCAAATAAGAAAGAGAATATCTAAAGAATACATCTCAATCAAGGACTTTCATACTCAGACATTTCCCCAGGAAGCAGGCAAATAAAGTAAAGAGATCCTAGGTAGATGAATCTACTTCCACTTAAGAAGGTGGACTTCTGAGTTCTTCTCTTCCAAGACAAAGAATTGGCAGGCTCTTACCCATTTGTGAAACTGTTAGGGTAGACTTTCAAATCTCCTGCCAACATGCCTCTTTGGTAGAACTATTACTTAGCTTTCCTGTCTTTGTACAAGTTATTCAATCCTCCACTGTGTCCTAAACCAGCCTATTCTGGTTTAGAGAAAGATAATCCATCCCATGCTCCAAACATATAAGAACCCAGACCCTTCAAGCTGACTTGGAAACCAACTCAGGTTCCCCTCCCCATGCAGGGAGTTGGTTTCTTTCTGTGTTCTGCTGTATGGTGTGTGTGGGTTTCCCCTTTCAATAAAATTTGGTTGGATGCTGTCACTATGTCTTTTGTGCTTTTTAATCCTTTAAGTTGGCAAAGACATCAAATCCTTCCCTGTAGCCCTAGATGGAATCATAATTATTTGATAAATAATTAGAGGGATGGAGAAATGAACCACTGAGTGGATAAATTAAGAAAAGGTGGAGACTGTTCTCCATATTTAATATTAGAAAAATATAACTTTAAAATATTTAGATAATAATTTCAAGATGGTGGAGGAGCAACACTGAATACTACAAGTCTCATCCACGGGATGGAAAACATGAGTAACTGTGAACTTGGTGGGGCATGGGAAGTGATGGTGTGAAGGAAAGCTGAGTACTTCAGAAAATACAGAGAATAAAAGAAATATAAGCAGAGTGCCACTGCTCCCAGGACCAACACCTGAATAAGGAAGAAATTCCTGCCTCAAAGTGATAAAGGTGAAAGAAAAAGAGACATAGCTTTGTACTGAAAACTGCACCATACAAAATATCTTAAACAGATGGCCAGCAGCCTTCATGATCAGAAAACTCTATCAAAATCCCTCATGTGTCTCACAGTAAACACTCTAGCCCACAACTATCTTAACAGACAAGTGATGGGGAATGTACTTCTTTGTATGTTTATCTTATTAATTGCTGAATAAAATACTGTTTGGCCAATGGCAAGCAAGGACTAGGAGTCAAAGAGGATTCTGGGAAATGTAGTAGAGAAGTGATGATCCAGGCAGGAAGTGACACGGCAAGGAGACTCATATCTAAGCGAGGAAACAGGAAGTAGGTCCTTTATCCCGTTCGCCTCCTCCAGCGGCAGGATGTGAACCACCGGCAAGGAGGGATGCCAATAAGGCATCCGATAAGATAAGTCTTATAAAATATATAGATTTATGATAATTAAGACTGAGCTAACAGATGAGGAATCCTAGTCATTGGCCAAGCAGCTTTGAACCTAATACAAGTTTCTGTGTATTCATTTGGGCATAACTCGGGCGGGCGGCTTGCGTAAAGCTCACACGTGATGGTGGGGCTCAGGCGGCTTTTGGCAAAAAGATTTATCATAACAGACAAGTTCTCATCATAGGAATTAAACTACTCTTGAAGTTAAGAAATCTGATATAATCAAGCAGAGTCCCCATAGATACCCCTCCACTGGGACTGGGTAGCCAGTGGCCACCCGAGATAGTTGCTTAGAGAGAGTCTTTCTTTGACATAAACCTTGTCGTGGTTTCAATATGAATATGAAATAGCCTCTAAAGAAAATTGGGACTGACCCCTTTGTTCACTACTCCTCCCTCTCTGAAACTGGATTCCAGGAGTTTAGCTAAGTGATTAGCTGTGGATCTCTGCTGTTGCTTCCATCGGCTACTAGATGAAGGCTCTAGGATGGCATTTAAGGTAGTAATCATTCTCATTGTAGGGGAAGGGCATTTAAGGTAGCCTCTCAACTATTGCTTAGATTCTTAGTTGGGGCCATCCTTTTGATACTCTGTACAATTTCCTAGTTCCAGATTTCTCTGTACAAACTTCAGGAGCCCATCTATTTAAAAAATAAGATCGAATGGTTGGTTCCCAGTTGCTAATACTGTTCTACAGTGCTAATGGGCCCTTAAGGAGTGAGGCCTCAATGAAGATCAGTGGCTAGATGTATTCCTTCAAGTTTTATAGTCTGCCCCCACTTCTCACCTGCTCCCTTCTTCCTGTTCCATCATGATGGGAGAATGTGAGGGGTCTTGGCTGTACTCTCCAACCTCAAGGAAGACACCTAATACCATGCTTTCTCTACTCTAACACACTATATTCTTTCCAAATGCAAGCCTTTAAGTTGGTTCTTGACAAATATTTGGTTGTAAGAACAAGAAAATTAACTTGTACAGAAAACTGATATGGAGAAGTAGGTCTATTTCTATGATAAATCTCAGCACATGCTTCTTAGGAATTGCCTTGTGGGAGGAACATGGAAGAGTCTGTAACTGTAGGTTAGTGATGTCCATTAGGCAGAGTTCAATATGCTATCCTGTTGGAAGTTTCGAGAACTCTGTTAGAAATGGCCTAAAGCCATTCATGTCACATTTGAGCTGAGCATCTGTGCTCTAAGAATTGCATGAGGTTGGGTTATTTGCAATAAACTAGTTTGCTTGGTGGAAGAATCTTCAAGACAGGATAGCATTTAGGCTTCATCATGGTTACTGATTACACTTCTTATCAAGGTCCACAGTGGGAGAAAACATGGGGAACAGGAGCACCAGGGAGTCTAACAAAGCAGACAAAAAGGGTACGGACAATGCTTCTGTGGCTGTGGAAGAGACTAGTGACATTAAAAAGTCACCTTATGATCTGCCTGAGGACAGCACCCAACCCATTTAGGGCTCTAATTCATAAAAATGCAAATTCATTTGAAAGGAGAAAATCAGAACTGAGAATGCCACCACAAGAATTGCCAGCTCCAAAGCGATAGTCTAGGGAAATGTTTCTATGAAGTCTAAAGTCAGAAGTCACTATATTCTTGATCCACAGGGAACTCTAGGAAGAACCTGACATTATGACCTGTCTGGTACTCGTTTGGTAGACATGAATGATGCCAGAAAGTGGGGGTCTCCATGGCCAGTGTTAGCTCTGGGATCATTGGAACCCTTCACTGGCCTTTGGATGGCTGGTTCTACCCCTCAGAGGAGAACTCACCTCCCTCTTCCCCCACATAACCCGGGAAAGATGAACCCATTCCCAGGCCTGCACCTCACCTGGGAAGCACACTAGAGTTGACTCTGTGGTGAGGGACACAGGTGTGATATCCCTGAGGGCATGAGAGCAGGAAAGTTGACCCTGCCCTCCCCATCTACCATGGGGTGGCATGGATGAGAGAAAGATGTCCTTCCCCATACCCGTTACCACCTGCAGCAGGTGAGAGAGCTGGCCCTGGCATCACAAGGTAGGAGAACTAGCCCTGATCTTCACCAGCTGCAGTGTGGGAAAAAGCAGCCTCTGCTTCCCAGACCTGAGCACCCAAGATCAGGAGAACTGGCCCTGCTCCTTACTATAAGCTGCATTTGGGTGAACTAGCCAAGGCAACACTGTACAGCTCATCTTGGTAGGGACAATGAGGGAAAGCTAGGGAACTGACTAACCTAGCTACCACTAAGGCTCCTACCAGGACTATGAGTTGGCCCACCCCAACATCCACCCATCTGTGAACTGTTGGAGAAAGGGACAAACCTACAGATCCAAAACAGCAGGATCTCCATGACACCAGATAACAACCAGATATCCAAGAGGAGTCCCATGAAAGCCCATGATCGGTGGGTATAACAGAAACCAGAGCCCTCCAACCAGACCAATGGGTCATACAACAGCTTCCACAAGATTATTTTTGTTTGTTTTTTTGGTCTTGGTTCTGAGTTTTGTTTGGGTTTTTTGTTTGTCTTTTAAATTTGGTTTTGTTTGGGGGAAGGTTGCAAGGACAGATGCAAGGGGAGAAGATAAGTGGGATCAAAATGCATGATGTGAAATACACAAAAAGAATTGATAAAAGTGAGAGAGAGAGAGAGAGAGAGAGAGAGAGAGAGAGAGAGAGAGATGAAAGTGAAAACATGGCCAAAGAGTCCAGAAACCTGTTCAAACCAGGCATGATTTGTGATATTATGTGACAATATCTCCCTAAAAAGAGACTCCAATGAACCCCAGCATGGAGCTGGAAAGTGAAGGATAATTGAATATGCCAGATCCTTGGAACATCTACTAGAAAACTTCAGGCCAAGATCTGAGTCAACATGAAACTCATTAATTTGTATAATTAATCATATTTATAAAAATAAAGTACTGATCCCTTTGCTCATCAATCCTCCCTTTGTACAACTGAATTCCAGGAGTTCAGCTCAGTGCTTAGCTGTGAGTCTCTGCTTCTGTTTCCATCAGCTACTGGAGGAAGGCTCTAGGATGGCGTTTAAGGTAGTCATCAATCTTATTATAGGGGAACAGCATTTAAGTTAGCCTCTCCACTATTGCTTAGATTCTTAGTTGGGTCATCCTTGTGGATTCCTGGGAATTTCCCTAGTGTCAGATTTCACCTTAAGCCCATAACATCTTCCTGGTTTTTGGGAGCCCATTAACTATGGAGGGATACTCTTTCAGCCTTGATACAGAGGGGAAGAACTCAGTCCTGGCCCAAATGATGTGACACACTTTGATGATCCTCTATGGGAAGCCTCACCGTCTCTGAGGAGTAGATAGGATGTGGGATGGGGAGATGGTGGGGGGAGTGTGAGGATGGGAGGGAGAGAGAACTGGGATTGGTGTGTAAAACAAGATTGTTTTTTCTTTAAATTTTTAAAAATTAATAAAAAACTAACAAAAATAGTGAATATTGACTTCATTAAAAGCACCGAATTAAGTATTGCCATCCCACATAAGAGCTGTCCTTTTATAATGTATGTTACCATCCTTAGAATTAGAGACATCCACATTGTTTATCTTTCTATTCCAAGTCTGAGTTTTACAAGCTTTTCTTCCAGCCTTCAAAGCCTCTACTGTCAGCTCCAGTGATATCCAAGGACCATAAGTGTTCAAATTTTGTAATTTTATTGGTTAAATGCCTATACTACACCCAGGATGTAGCCAAATATAATTTTCTTTCTTATCTTCAAAATAAATAAAATATCACCCTCTGCAAAAAATTCTGGAAAAAACGATTTTCTAAGATTTTTTTCACAATTGTGCCAAAATATGCATTCTTAAAGAGAAGTTTTGGTCTTTGTCATCATGGTGTCTATAGTAAGAGATAAAAAGCAGGCATTCAAAGTCACAGTATCAACAAGGGATGTTCCATGGTTGGAAATTTAGCACACATCAGGTGTAGAAATCGAAGAGTTTACACACTGGGTCATGATTAGAGAAGAGTGTTCTGTGAACAATCCAGTGCACCTTGCCATTCTAGGAAGAGTTATATGGAAGATTTTTCTGACACAAGAAGGAAAAGTCCCACTGTTGCTTTTCATTGCCTCCTTACAATACAGTACCTCACCTATTCTCCTTTGCTCATTGCCTTTTCAGGCATCTCACATGTGTTCTCTGGATTACCATGTTGTCTTCACCATCTCATATTTTGCAGTAGGGCAAAATAAGTAAGAGACGAGCAAATTATTCCCCATAACTTCCACTGGCAGCTTGTGTTTCCCAATCACAACACATTCCTTTGGAAGTATAATAAGCTGTCTGCCTTTCTCCTACCCTTCCTGAGTATGATGCTTTCATTCTGTACTTGGGGAAACTTGCATCTCCCTAGAAGTCATGAGCTGAGAACCATCACAGAGAAGACACTGAATTGTGTCATAGACTTAGTTGCCTTCCTCAGAGAAGGGCAATATATCTTACTGTCTAGAAAGACTTCAACAGTTGCTTTGTGATATATCTAGACCACAATCCAACCACACTGTGAGGTAGATTTGTGAATTTAGAAAGGATGGGTGAATATTCTAAAGTCCTACTAATGTGGCTCATCAACAATAATGCTTTGTCTCAGAGAAAGGGCATGGGCATTGGGAGTAGTGATCTGATCATGTCTAAAGAGTTTGTCTACAGTCCCAAGAGAAAACACAATGTAAGCTTCAAGGGATGCCTTGTGGCACTGAAAAGAAATTATTACCTGCTGAGAAAGGAAAAAAGTAGTCACTTTTCTTAAACTTGCCATTCTCATCCAGAAAGTGACCAGGATCAAACCTTTCTGGGTTGGGGAATTCTTTGTCATCATTCAGCACAGATGTCAGTGATGTTATTACAGTGGTACCCTAGAAATAAGAGACATAGACAAGTTTCATAAAAGGTATGGAACTAAAAAGGAACAACTGGTATCACATAGTTTTAAGGTTTTGACCTAGAGATAAGGAAACTATTACCAAACAAGAGCTGATTGATAACCAGAAAGATCCTGTAACAAACATGGAATAAGCAGCTGAAGTCCAGGGGCAGTGATCTTGATTCAGTGTCTTCTAATAGCATTTGAAGTACTAAATAGTGGGATATTTGGTCCCAACATTTCTGATTCTGTTTTCATTATCAACAAGTTTAGCACTGGTTTCTTTTTAAGAAAACAATAAATACATCTTTTTGATTCTTTTTTTTTACGTCTGAAAGGAAGATAAGTTGGAACTGGCCCAGGAAGGATCCTTTTATGATAATGTTAACTACCAGAAGCATGGTTCAGACAGGTGAAAGAGGTTGGACATATTACACCTAAATAAAAAAAAAAAAGGCTGCCAAGAACAGTGCCCAAGGAGAATGGACACTTCACCTCAAAAAGACCCTTATAATTAGGATTAAGAAAAGCCTGTTTTTTAACCTGTTCCTTCTAGAGAAAGACAAAGAGGAACCTGGTTATCAATGTAGCCAGAATAACATCTGTATTAACTGTTCAGTTGGATGTGTGTCTACCCTTGCCCTGTTAACACTGGTTTCTATCACTACCTGCTCTCCTTCACCACTGCTGTTTTTGCATGCTTCACTTGGAAGTTTGTTTTTGTATAGAAAACATCATAGGAAGGTTTCATATGCATGTCTGGTATAGTTTAAAATTGTCTTCTGGAATAACAGGACCCTAAAGTAATAAAAACATTATTCAGTGCTTTCACTGGCAAGCTTGACTTAATTAAAAATATGGAGGTTTTATTACATTTAGAGCAACTTGAAAAATAAAAGGATGACAATATAGAAATAGAATCATTTTGTGTTTCAGGTCAGGACCATCAGTTTAGAAGTATAAAAACTGAAAACAGCTATTTCTGATGTGCCTTCCAATGCTCTGCTCTGAGCCACTGGAGGTCTGGAGACTGCACACTGCAGATGCCATCCCAGCAGCGACCAGCCCAGCCAGAGACTGCCAGAAAGCATCCTGGTCCCTTTCTCTGCCCATGGAACTAGGAAGAAGAGAGCCATCAGAGTATTGGACCTGATTGCACCCTCCAGAAGGGAACTTTGGTCCCGTACTCACCAGGAGAGGAAGAGACTCCTCCTGCACCCTCTAGAAGAAGGCATGGGAAGAAGACAATATAAAAACACATTTAACAACAGAAAGACCAATAGGACACCACTGGAGGCCAGGGACTCTACACCAGCAAGACCTGAACATCCCAAAGCAGATGAAGCAGAAGAGAAGGACTTAGAAACAACTTCATGAAAATGATAGAGGCCCTTAAAGAGGATATGAGGAAAATACCTTAGAAAAATGGAAGAAAAAACAAACCAAAAATACAAGAGATCAACAAATCTCTTTAAGAAAGCCAACAAAAAAGCAATCAAATAGATGAAAGAAACAGTTCAAGTCCTGAAAACTGAAATAGAAACAATAAAGAAAACACAAACTGAGGGAATGCTGGAAATAGAAAAGCTGAGTAAATGATCAGGAACTGCAGATACAAGCATAACCAACAGAACACAAGATATGGAAGAGAGAATCTCCAGTGTTGAAGATACACTAGGAGAAATAGATTCATCGTCCAAAGAAAATCTTAAGTCCAACAAATTCCTAGCACAAAATATCCAAGAATTGTGGGACACCGTGAAAAGACCAAACCTAAGAATAGGTATAGAAAAAGGTGAAGAAACCCACCTCAAAGGTGCAGAAAATATATTCAACAAAATAACAGAAGAAAACTTTCCCAACCTAAAGAAAAACCTGCCAATGAAGGTACAAGAAGCTTACAGAACAGCAAATAGAGTAGACCTCAAAAAAAGTCCCCTTGCCACATAATAATGAAAACTCCAAACATACAGAATAAAGAAAGAATATTAAGAGCAACTAAGGAAAAAGGTCAAGTAACATATAAAGGCAAATATATCAGAATTACACCTGACTTATCCATGGAAACTCTGAAAGCCAGAAAGTCCTGGATAGATATTATACCAACACTAAGAGAACACAGATGCCAGCCCAGACTAATATACCCAGCAAAGGTTTCTTTTTGACTATTATAGGTGACTATATAATCTTATTTAATTATGCATATCATTTTAAAAGATATGTATAAAGACAATAACCAAACAAGAGGAAAGATATACATATCACAAAATTGACCTTAAAGTTGTATCAATAAATGAAAATCTATACCAATCTAAAGTAATCATCTCCATATCCTATTCCCCCTTTAAAAAAAAAAGAGAGATTGACTATGATCATTACCATTTATAACCAACCCCATTTAAATGAAAACAAACATTTATAAACAATATTTGGGAATTTGGGCGCCGTTCATTCCAAACTGCTTCCTGCTGGTTGGGGGCGATGTCTATACCATAGGGATCATGATAAAACACAGAGATCCTGGCTGGAGTGGTCTGCAAGGCTGCCTTGTGCTAGCTGTCTTAGATGCTGGATCACCTAGGACACTGCTTCAGGGGGTCTTGCTTCATTGAACCATGGTAGTCTGGAAGGAACCCACAGCTTATCACTTTCTGTGAAAACATAAGCAAGAAATCTTTTCCCAAATAGTCTGTCATTAAACTTAAATTTTGAAGTCAAAGCATTTTTAAAATGTATAAGTTGGATTTTTCAGCAGCATTTATAATCAAATGTATTTTAGCAATAATAACTCTTTCCTTGGCAATCAAACAATTTAAAGACAGCAATATGACATATAGTTTTCAAACTCTCTGTGTATTTTCCATCTTTACAAAGCTTTTCTATTACTCTATTTTTACTTCCTTTTGTTTCTTTTTTCCTGAGACAGGGTTTCTCTGTGGAAATCTGCCTGCCTCTGCTTTTGGAGTGGTGGAATTAAAGGCATGTGCCACCAACACCCGGCCTTAAAGCCACAGAGATCTCCTTGCCTCTGCCTCCTGAGTGCTGGGATTAAAGGCATGTGCCATCACACCCAGCTACTCTATTTCCTGTTATTTTTTTCTCACACAAGCCTACATATATTTTTAAACACACTGTAAACCTTTAGAGGTTTTTCTTCAACTGAATCAGTCTTTATTGTAAATCTTTACCTTTTTATGGCCACGCAGTCTTTTAACTGTTAAATGACACCACCAAAATTAAAGTGGTAGCTTTCTTAGCCACTGTCTTCCAAGGAGCATGCCGCCAGCTGGTCACTGCCACTGCCAGCTGTGTGGGGCATGAACCCACATCAAAAGTCTCAAACTCTACCTGCTGAGCTATCCAGGCCTCCTAAAAAGAGGCCCTGCGTTCCCCCCCCCCCCGTTAGGATGAGTCAGGAAACCTGTCCTAAGGAAACCACTCAAGTCTCTGCTTGTCTCTAGCAAACAGAGATCACCCGAGAAAATGCTGCTACCAAGAAGTCGTGCTTGTCTCTGTTCTTTTGCTGCTAAAATCCCTTTTTAAGCTTTTTTGAAGTTTATACGGAAGTTGGTAACCCTACCTCAGATAGGATAAAATGTACAGATATGCTTTAAGTAAGTATGGAATATTCTAATAGAATATTCAGTCATTCTAATAGAATAGACAGTCTAACAGAATAAGACAGTCATTCCAGGTATAGACAAATATTCGTTGTGCAAATTCAGCCTTCTACCTCCTTTGACTAGCTCAAGATCTGAGGATGTTTAATCGAAAAGAAATTTTAAAAAATATTTTTCATATCTCAAAATCTATAGAGTTTAAATCTCTGTTTCCATTGCCAGTAGTCATAACCATTATAGACAGAGTTTACAAGCTGCTGGTAACTGCTTTCCTATTTCAATAGCAAACTGTAGACACACAACAGAATCCTTGTGGCTGAGAAATTCTGAAATACAGCCAGTTAAAGTAAATGTTTCTTAAATCATCTCTTAGTTTTCTCCTCTGAAATCAGTGACTTTAGTCTACAGAAGATTATGTCATTTACCTTGTTTGAACATGGTAGAATTACCTACAAAATGTTTATCATTTCCCTTCTAGTCTTACACCTGAAAAGCATGAACAGGTTATTTACAAGGACTTTTTTCTTTTTCTTTTCCTTTTTCTTTTTCTTTTCCTTTTTGTACTCAAAGGCAACAATACAGAATGAACCACCAACGGATTTCAATTTGGGAGATCCCTAGACTTTTGTCTATCAGATCCTGAAAGCTGGTGTTATCAGTGGGGGATGTTGGAAACTCCATTGTTTCCTCAATCTGTTTTCTATTGACTCATGGTGGATAAATATTACTTTCCTTAATATTACTCTCAGTTCCCAGTCAAGAAAAACATGTTTACTGCTGTTTATGCCTTTTGATGAAAGGAGAGCTGAGAGCTGATTGAAGCCCTAACCTTTATGTCAAATCTATTGTAAAAGTTACCAATTCCTTATTTTTCATGGGATAGCACTAGTAATTGCAGCCTTACCAACTTCAGTACTCAGTTCCTGGTAACAATATAATTCTGTTTTATTGCATCCTTAACAAGAAATGTCCTGACTTCACATGAAAAGAGTACATATATATTCAGAAACCATGTTAGAAAACATTATTGGAACAAAGAGACCAGGATTTACATGGAAAATATAGCTCATAACTTTATAACCAGAATGTCTAGATAAATGGTGAAAGTGTGTTAGCAAGCTTTACAAAGCTGTGAGCATTGGATTGGATTATTCTTGGTACTTGAAGGACAAAAGAACATCAGAAGGCCAGTTAATGCCTAGAGTTAACCACCACTTCTATTTATATCAATTCTGAGTCATTGTCAAAGGTGTTACTTAATTCTGACTTCCTAGTGGAAAAGGAACTCTTTCTGGAAGAAGATAAACATCCTCTGAAATGTTGTTGTGTTTTCAAACAGAACATTTGTATTTTACTAAGTGTTGCTCAAAATTGCAAGGGTATGACTAAGTGATCACAAGAAGAGTGAGGAAGGCAATACAAACAGATGCTTTTCATGGAAGGGTTTACACCACTTCCTGGAAAAGCATCATCCCCATATTTAAAAATAATCAAACAAAATACTGATGAATAAAAACAATACAACAAATTCTCTAAGCAGTAGAAAGAGGAGCCATGAATAGCATACATCAGAGAAAATCCAACTGTGTGTAAAAGTAAAATATGGACATTTGTGAGAAAAATATTGAATAAATACAGTCACATATGGATAAAGTAAATGAATTTGATAAAATTCTGGAAATGTTCACCAAGAAACTCCTATATAGGTTAGAGAACAGAGAAATTTTCCTTATTTGATAATCCACTAAAAATTACTTAAAGCATCATTCTCAGAAATGGAATATTAAGCTTCAACATCTGTCTACATAGTAGAAATGAAAAACATGTGTCTAGCACCAACTGCGTTCAACTCAGCTCTCTCCTGGAAATTCTAGTCTTTGCAATGTTGTTATTAGAAATTAGGAATATAAGAATTAAGGAATATAAGATAGGTTAATATGTTAATTCACCTGGCAGTAAAAGGCATCTCAAACTTGCAAATGAACCTAGATATAAAGTCATTGGTAATGAGTAGTCACTTTGTCAAGGTTACTAGATACAAGGTCATCACATGATAAAATCAAGTGCATGCTCAAGAAGCAAGTGCAGAGAAATGGAAAAGGAATGATAAACTCAAAAGCAACAAAATTATTTACTTCCCAGGAAATACTTAGTAAAATACTTAGGAGCCACTGCACTGAAAAAAACAAAACATAATTGAGAATATAAAACAAAGCTAAATTACAATGGGAATACAAATATCTGAATTGAAAGAGTTAATGGGGCAATGTGCTGTTTCTTCCAAATACCCCTATACACTCCTTGTCACCCTGATAAAGACTCCTAAGATTGGCAAACTGGATTTCTCTGAATAATCTTTTTAAAACCTAGGCTAAGAGTGGCTAGGAATTATTTTTAAAGAAGAGCAAATTGGAAAGACATACAGTGCCACATTCAGAGACATGTTCTAAAGATTTATAGGCTCTTAAAAGAAACAGCACAACACCCAGCTGCCAGATGTGAGGTGTTTAGACTTCTCTGATCTTGTGTGAGAAGAAAACTGGAATCAATCACACTGTGAATTGAGATCAAGATTAAGGTATGCTAGAAGAAGGTACGTAGTGTTAAGGTATGTAGAAAAAGGGAGCTTACCTTGGGAATGAGATAATTTCTGAACTTAATTTCAGAGGTCGTTGCATGGGGCAGGCTGGTAGGAACGAGGTCAATGTATCTCTGAATCTCATGCAACACAGCATCAGTGTAGGGCATGTGAGTCCTGTCCTGCATGCAGGGGCTTCTGTTTCTACCAATCACATGGTCAATCTCTTCCTGGACTTTGGCTGGTTCAACATAGAGAAAAATGACAGAAGAGGGAAATGGCACACTGGTCACAACTGAAATTGCAAAGCCCAATCTTTGGGGTCAATAATTATTTAAAGCAGTCTGGCTATGTCCATGTGCCAGACAACACGGTGAGGCTTCCAAAAACACAGGATACTGGGTGCTTCCTTGTTCCTCCTGGAAAAGGGAGGTCGGCCTTAGTTTTGAAGCTCTGTTGCTACCAGCTCTGCTATATTTGAAGTTTGGAACCTCAGTGTTTACCTCTGTGTATTGGGAACAGTCATACCTGCCATGTTGGGCAAGTCTGTCATCAATGTTGTGTGTGTGTGTGTGTGTGTGTGTGTGTGTGTGTGTGTGTGTGTGTACAATGTATGTACATGTGTGTACCCAACTGAACTTAGGGGGGATTGTTGGTAATATAGGGGAAGAAAGTACAGGAATAATCAAGATCAAGCTACCTCCTCTCCTTAAAGCATCACAAAACTTTATCAGTCAAATCAAGACACCATGAAAGTTTCAGTAGTTCTTGAGTCAATAACTTAATTTTTCATTATAACAGACACTTGTCCAGAATTTTCTATGAAGCTGATAATGTATAGAGGTGTGTAGTCTATAGTGGTTCACTCTGTGAAGAATACATACAATGGTTGAAGGAGAAAGATGAGCCAAAATTAAGAAGAGAAAATTGTCAATTTAATTTTTTAATATTGATTTTATATTTTTAAGTGAGTGTATGTTTATGTCTTGTGGGGGAATTTGCACATGAGTGCAGGAAGCCGGGGAGGCCAGACATGGAAATTTGATTGACGGCAGCTGGAGTTTCAGATGGTTGTGAACTGAGAAGCATTGGTAATAGGAACCAAACGCCAGTGTCCTCTCCTAGAGTAGGGCATCTTTTTAACAACTGAGTCTTCTTTCTCCCCCAGAGTACCTTTTCCTCTTACACCTTGTGCTGACACACTAGCCTCCGATGAAGCCCACACTCTGGGACAGTGCTCTATTGGTTACGTTACTGCCATACTGTCTTCACTTCAGAAGCACCCTCCTCTGCGTGCCTTGAGACAACCCACTTCACAGAGTACAGTTAGAGGCACAAAAGGTTAAAAGCAGAGGCTTCTCTGAAACAACCAAGATTCCTTTCTGATACTCACTTGCTTCCCACCTGTGTCCTTACCTGTGACTTCTGGGTGCTTGAGCAGGAGCAGCAAAGAGTACCTCAGTGTTGTGCTTGTCGTCTCTGTCCCAGCAGCAAACAGATCAGATGTGGTGACTGCAAAGTTATCGTAAGTGCACTCGACGTTTGAGTTGTGTTTTTCCTAGGAATAGTTTGACTGTGTTTTCTAACAAGTTATTTGCCAGCGTACTTATCACAGTGAAAAGATAACTTACATGTAACAAATTTAACCTGACAGAGGAGCTTGAAAAACAGGCAGACGCCCACCCCCAACTCATTTTCACATCCTACATCCAGCTCCTTGCCTGGAAAATATCTCCTTTCATGAAACTCTTTAGCCAGATGAATCATGCAATGTACCATGTTCCCAAAGGTACATAAACAAAAGAATAGCTGCTCCATTTCCTATTTTCTCTTCTTTACTCAAAACACACAAAAGAACGAAGAGAAAAAGCTGATGGCATGTAATGTGGAGGCCAGCCATGAAGACAATGGCGCCAACTGTAAATATGGTGAAGAAAAGTGGAAGACCCTGCCTCTCCTGGGGTAAGTATACTGCATGAGTAAGAATAAGAGTTTACAGATAGCATAGGGCACAGCTCAGGGCAGCAGAATTGAGAACTCACAAAAAGAATCTTACTTTTTTGACACAGATGTCAAGGAAATTCAAGAGAAGTATGTGACCTTTCAACAAATAGTTCAGTAATGAAATACTTTATTCCTAATAGGTCTGATAGACACCAACCTCAAACTCACTTGAAGTTACATTCAGTTAAGGTGCTTTTTTTTTTCCTGCTAACCATTTCCACCCACACACCATATCCTACCTCTTACAGTTTACTTGAAATTTGTTTACCTGTCCACTACTGCAAATATTTTTGTTTTGAAACAGGGTCTCCCTGGGAGTGAAGTCCCAGCTACCTTAGGACTTGATCTGTAGACAAGGCTGGATTTGAAATCACAGAAATCTCCCTGCCTCTGCCTCCTCTATGCTCAGATGGCAGGCATGTGCCATCACCCAAAAACTGAAAATATTTTTAAGAGTTCATTCAATCTGTGCAACATATAGGAAATCTGGCTAGCTTAAACTACTTGCCATGTTTCATAGACTGCCTGCAAAGATGACACCCTCTTCACACTATGCTGGATACTTTGTTTTTCTAATTTTTTAAGGAGTCTTTGCACTTCACCTGCTTTGTGAATTCTGTTTCTCTTCAGTTAGAGTTTTCTCTTTCTAAAATCTAAGATTGAGGGCCACAGAGGTGCCTCAGTGATTAAGAGCACTCGTTGCACTTACAGAGGACTAGGGTTCAGTTCCCACATTGTGGCTAATAACCGGTTTTAACTCCAGTTCCAGGGGATCTGATACCCTTTTCTAACCTCTGCAGGCACTGAACATGCATGGTAAACAGATATACATGCCAGAAAGACACCATATACATAAAAATAAAACACACACAGTCGATGTAGTCCAATTATTTAACACTTTAAGTTTATGTTATCTGGGATTCTAAGTCTAAATTCATGCCCAAAGTTAGACACTCAAAGTGCTTGCCAAATATTATAGGTCTGATCATGCAAGCATCTCTATAATAACAGAGACAAGGGCTAAAGAAATGGCTACTCAGTTAAGAGTAGTGACCACACTTCCAGAAGAGGCAGGTTTGATTCCCAGCACTTACATGGAGGCTCACAACCATCTGTAACTCAATGTTCTCTTCTGCCCTCTGTGAATGCTAGGCACACATGTGGTACACAGACACACATGTAGGCAAAATACCAATACACCTAAAGTCATAATAATAAATTATTTTTAAAGCAAAAACACTTCATGGGATTCAAAGCATTCAAAGTTAGATAAATACTTTACCTGCTCCATTTTGATCAGGAAACAATCAATGAAGTCCCGAGGATTATTAATATCCAGTGATTCTTGGTGTTCTTTAACTTTTTCCAAACAATAATGTTTTAAGAATGTGAAATTTTTAAGTAATTTAGCATGGCTCCCTGGTAGATAATCAGTGATAACAGGAAAATTATTGCAAACCTACAAGTAATGATAAATTATTTTTAAAACATGTAATGTAGACATGTGTATCATGTCAGGATATTTTGGTAGAAAGCAGAAATATAGAATAAATAACATATGCTATTCATTTTGATGGGTGATTTTTTTTATTAGTTCAAATTAGGAACAAGCTTGCTTCACATGTCCCTTCTCCTTCTCCCTCCTCTCCTCCCAACCCCCCAGCCTCCCACTCCCTCCTCCCTCTGCTCCCCAGGAAAGGTAAGGATCTCCATGGGGCCTCCCCAAATTCCATAACATCATCCTGGGCCGGTTAGGCCCTCCCCCATGTGGGATGGGCTCTCAAAGTCCCTTCTTACACCAGGGAAAAATACTGATCCACTACCAGAGGCCCCATAGAGTGCTGAGGCCTCCTTGTTGACATCCACTTTCAGGGGTCTGAATCAGTCCCGTGCTGGCCTCCCAGACAGCAGTCTGGGGTCCATGTGCTCCCCTTTGTTCAGGCCAGCTGTTTCTGTGGGATTCACCAGCCTGGTCCTGACGGTGGGTGATTTTTTATCACAGGTATATAGCAATTCTCTTTGCTTGTAGAAATGTCTATGGGAGTCTTTCATGAAGATGGGGTAAAATATAATAATTCACTTCTTAAGCTCTTATATGATCTTTATTACATATGTGTATTTTATATCAATTCATTCATTTCTACATTACCAGTTCACTTTAACCTTGGACTAAGGATGACCTAAGTTAATGTGATTTACATTTTATAGACTGCAACGGACATTGAGGGACATGGGGTATGCTGATTGAAACATAGTCCCTACTAATTGATTTCTACAACTACCTTCAAACACAGAATAAGAAACTTAGAAATGTGAGTCTCAAGAAAAGTCTGCACAAAACTATTTGGGTGATTTCTCACATAAATATCATTTAGGCATATTGTAAAGCATGCCAAATTGGCCCAGAGGAAATTTGATGAGATCTAGATACCACTCAGCCAATTTTTTGTCACTCCCATCCCAGCTATTTTGTCAGTTAGGATGTCAACCCTTTATCAAACACTGCTACCACATTTCATGGTGCCTGATATTGTGTAGTATTACTTTAACTATGTAAAGATACATTTGTTTGTGTTACATAGTATTACTTTAGCTATGTAAAGATACATTTGCTTTTGTTACATAGTATTACTTTAACTATGTAAAGATACATTTGTTTGTGTTACTTTAGCTATGTAATGGAGTTTATTGATGGTTATTTGTTTATTGATGTAAAGATGTGTTGCATTTGTTTCACCTTTCCTGTCTAAAGCACCTGGTTGGTCTAATAAAAAGCTAAATTGTCAATAGCTAGGCAGTAGGGAATAGGAAGGTCTGGTAGGCAAAGAGAATAAGTAGGAGGAGGAATCTAGGCACAAGAAAAAAAGAAAAGACTGAGAGAGGAAAAAAGAGAGACCACTGGGGCCAGCCGGGCAGCTGCCAGAAACACAGACACAGTGGAAGCAGAAAAGTAGGACATACAGAATGAAAGAAAGGTAAAAAAGCCCCAAGGCAAAACATTGATGCAGATAAAGTTATAAGAGCTAGCAAGATCACTTCTCGGCCTTTTGGCTAAGTTCAAGAGTAGGGCTAGCAAGAAATGAGCAGAAGATAAGGCTGAGCATTCATAACTAATATTATATCATCATGTCATGATTTGGGAGCTGGCAATCGAAGAAAGCCTGCTACAGCCAGGTAGTTTCAATGACCCCAAACATTCTCCCACTGCAAAGACAATATTCTCTTAATGAATTGTAACATTTAGGTAAATTTTTTATGAGAGTATTGCTAAAGAAGCCTGTGGCTAACAGAAGGTTAAACAATGAAATAGATGTCCACAGTCATGTGAGCATCTTCTGAATATTTGATCATAATGATCTGTAGAGAAAGTGACTTGGGATTTAATAGAAAAATTAATGGACACAGAGTCTGCAGGACTAAAAGAGTAAGCCCCATATCTTAGCCTTCATTTTTCTGGATTCAAAATTAAGGGTTCAGGCATCTTTCTTAAATGTTCACCAGCAACTCTCTGAGTATCACTGTGGTGTCCACAAATTTACTTCCCTGCATGGTCATTAGAGAACTGTGGAGGTTTCAGGAAACAATTATCTCCAAGTGGTTTCATTTTCCTGATGTTCTTGATGTTTTGCTTTGTTTTGTTTTTGTGACAGAAAGGAACATGGACTCACCTGCATCCAAGGGGAACTCAAAATATTGGCATTTTCATTTAAAATGTTGATCAAGTTAAGAAAATCCTGATCTTTATAATTAAAACGATTCTGGAAAATAATGGAGCAGATGACATTGCAGGGAGCACAGCCCAGGATGAAGGTGGGATCGCATGGTGCACCTGAAGAGTTGGGAGCAATTGTAAAATTGTATTAAGTATAGATGTGCATGTAAATATATGTGTGTATATATGTATAAAAATGTATCTGTTAATAAATAAAGGAAGTTAAAACATTTTAATCATACCTACACATTGCCTATAAGTCATTATTCCATGTGTACTAGTTGAGTTCATGATCTAGTTAACTAGCTGAATAACAGATTTGCATACATCCAGTTTTCATCCAGTGCCTTTTTGATTGGCTTTTCACCCTAATTATTTATTGTTTTGTTTGAAATGGGGGAAAAAAGACTTTTTAAAACTTTAATAATTCAAGCCTCCAGAGAAGACTTACCAGTTGTAAAGCCTCTTGACAAAACAGTGCTAAAAAACGAAGGGAAAGAAAAAATGATGGATACCAAAAAGCTTTGATACATAACAAGTAGTTGAATGAAACACCACTACAAAGACAGAGGTTGTGTATGGAAAAGCTAACCTGGAAAGGAAAACCCGCTGATGCTATCCGAGATGGGAAATTTTCCAAGTGAAAATTAAACACAAGATGGATTTCTGTGAGTAAAGTTAAGGTAAGAACATTTAGCTCAAAGAAACAACCCTTGGGAATTGCAAATTCTTTTAACCATAGTACCATTCTGGGTGATCTGGAAATATTGTATCATATGAAAGGAGACAGAGATAGATTTAGGAAACATGAATATGTACATGATTGTGGGATGTGAGTGTGAGTTATGTGTGCAATTCAGAAGGAGACCTAATTTCTTATTCCATTTTCATTTAATTAAAAAAACATGGTCACACAGAAGATATGCTGATAATCAAATTTACTGTGACAAGCACTATTAAAGGTTTGCTTACTTAGTAGTATGAAGAGAAAATTACTGCCATAAATTTCATCCCAAAGTAGAATAAATAGGAGGATATGAAAAAACAAAGATGACATAGTAGAAAAATCTAGCTATATACATCGTTTAAAAATGTTTGCTTTGAGAGATACCTTCATAGAGGGAGCCATTATAGGTTTAAAGAGAAACCTGGCACTAGGGAAATATCCAGGGATCCACAAGGGTGACCCCAGCTAAGAATCTAAGCAATAGTGGAGAGGCTACCTTACTTTGTAGTTTTCTGTTTGGTTTAGTTTGGTTTTTAAGACAGGGTTTCTCTCTATAGCTGTAAAAACCTGCCCTGGAACTCACTCTGTAGACCAGGCTGGCCTCAAACTCACAGAGATCTGCCTGCCTGTACCTCCCAAATACTGAGATTGAAGGCATGTGCCACCACCTCCCAGCTGAGACGCTACCTTAAATGTCCTTCCCCTACAATGAGATTGATGACTGCCTTAAATGCCATCCTAGAGCCTTCATCAAATAGCTGATGGAAGTGGAAGCAGAGACCCACAGCTAAGCATTGAGCCGACTCCTGGAATCCAGTTGTACAGAGGGAGGAATGATGAGCAAAGGGGTCAAGACCATGCTGGGGAAACCCACAGAAACAGCTGACCTGAGCAAGTGGGAGCTCAGGGACCCCAGTCTGACAGCTGAGGAAACAGCAGAGGACCTAATGTGGGTGTTAGTTGGGGCCTCTGGCAGTGGAACCAATATTTATCCATAGTGCACCAATGGACTTTGGGAGCCCATTCCTTATGGAGGGATATTCTCTCAGCCTAAATACATGGGGGATGGCCTAGGTCCTGCCCCAAATGATGTGACAGACTTTGATGATTCCCCATGGGAGGCCTCACATTCCCTGAGGAGTGGGTGGTGGGTGGGATGGGGAGTTGGTGGGGGCATGGGAGGATGGGAGGGAAGGGGAACTGAGATTGGTATGTAAAGTAAGATTGTTTTTAATTTAAATAAACATTTATATTAAAAATTTACTACAAAAAAGAGATGTTTAATTTCATCGTGTAATTGTATATATTTATTCAAAAGTATAAATCAATGAAGAATTAGATAACAAGAAATATTTTTTTGGTTTCTCTGTGTAGTTTTGACTGTCCTAGAACTTGCTCAGTAGACCAGGCTGGCCTCAAAGTCACAGAAATCCTCCTGCCCCTGCCTCCCAAATACTGGGATTAAAAGCTACTAGTAGCCCAGCTACTAAAAATATTTTTGTTTTATATGGATTGTATTACTGTACTGGACACAAATTAATAATTTTTAAGATATAACCTAGTAATTAGAAACATTACATAGCAACATATTTGTAAAAACTTAATACTAGACCTGTATGAAACACTGAGGTATGTCTGTTCTCCAAGATAGTCAGTTAGAGGACTCTCCTAGATAAATGGACATAGTTAAATGGACATAATCCTAGCTCCATAAGAGTATGGTATGATCATTGCCACCATGTTAAATGCCGAGTGTTCTCTAGTAAAATTAACTGCAAAAATGACACGCAATTATGCTAAAGGTAAACACTCCTCAGTTCATCAGCAAGAGAACTGAAAGCCTATATTGAATAACAACTATATTCATATTCTCATTTGAAAACTAAAAAGTTAGTTTCCAAATAAAATTGTGGGTTGGAATCTGCAAAAATGATACAATCATACTTATTTATAAAAGTCATGGATACACAAACTCTACTCTTTGCTACAAATCACCTGTCCTCCTTGTGGAATCTCAGGACAACTAAGGAAGAAAGCCAGGAAAAGGCCTCATTATAGAAGACAGGGTCTGTCAAGATTGACGACGTGAGGTGATACCCACCGTTGGTTTTCCTCAGCTCCTCTACGAGACAGCGAGCTTCCTCTTGAACACGCTCCTCAATGCTTCTCTTCCCCATCCCAAAGTTCCTCAGAGTCATGAGTGAGAAGCGTCTTGTCTCTTTCCAGTTCTTTCCATTGCTAAAAATAATTCCTAAACAATCAGAGAGCCGAAGTTATTGGGAGATCCCAGATAGAAGAAGGGAGGGGCTGATGAGTGACTGCCACACAGAAGGCCAAGCTGGATCTGAGCAAGACTGCCTTCCATCCACTTAGTCCTACCACCACAGCCCAATATACGTACATGGACACACAGGCACATGAATACAGAAGAGCATGTACCCAGAGGCATAAGGACACACAGGCATGTGGGCACACAGGTACATGCACACTTACCAAGGCCTTTCTTAATTTTGTCAACCGCTGGGAGGCTTCCTCTTCCAGAAAACTCTTCTCCATGGTCTATCAAAGCTTCCTTCACAACTTCATACCCATGCAACACCACAGCAGGCTTGCTGCCCAGGTACAAAGTGAACACAGGACCATAGACTTTTGAAAGCTGAAAAATTAAATGGTGATTTTTTTTAATGTAGCAAAAGGGGTCAGTATGATTTTTTTATATAGTATGCTCAAATGTAATGATTGTTATTATAAATGTATATTTTTCTTATCACAAAATGATTCAAGATTTTGTAATTTTATACATAAATATCATAATGGTTAGAGCTCTCAGTTTGGCTACAATGATCAAGTACTTGGTCATCAGTTTCAGTTAATCATAAAATCAACATATTTAGCATTTATTCTGGTTTACAAAAGAAACAAAACAGGCAGAAAATTCCATGTTATTGTCTATTGCCTCAGAGAACCAAAATTTGAACATCTATCTATTCAGTGCTTGATACTTGGGCAATTTATCATCTGCCTATCTCAGCTTGAAATTAATCCTCAGGTCAATATACCAACATCATCTACAAGGGTCTTGTCATAGAAAAGGGTGATCCCCTCTCAGAGTTCTCAATTTGATAAATTGAGAACTGTTAATAAATGAATTCAAGAGCATACCCTGAAGAAAACTGAGAACAATTTTATTAGCATTTAAAAGAAAAGCCACAGGGCTGGTGAGAAAAAAAAAAAAAAAAAAAAAAAAAACCTCCAGGCAGCAGAGAAGACATTGAAAGCCAAGCTTTTGAGTTAGACACAGAGTGGGCAAGCAACCACATGGCAGACAAGGTGAATCAGCCTTCCTGAGGTGCAGTCTATTAACCAGATGATTAACAAGCATAAATGAATTGAGTCACGATTTGAGATGCTTGGAATGTTAGATCTCCACCTAGACTATAGGAATAGTTTTCCCTTACCGGACATCTAATGCTATTTTAACATTTTTTTTCACAGAAATCCTGATTAAGAAGCTCTATGATTAGCACAAGTGACTTTCAAATGATTTCAAGACCATTCTATTGTCTAACCTAGTTTTCAGGCTATTACAATTACAAACAAGCTCTACATAGAATGCCAGGACACCAGCATTTCCTAGAAAAACAAATTCTTCAAACAGCCTTCTTGTCCCCAGAAAGGAGGTGTGTCCAAAGTTCTAAAACCAACTATTGGGCCCTGACTGACTGCTTGTTCTTGTGTTGCTCAGACCCCTAACTATTTCCTGGGCACCATATAGAGGTTGATTCTTCACAGAAGTTCTATTTGTTCAGCCAATCTAAATAAAATGCATGGCTAAGATATGTGAAGGAAATTTCCATAATAATCACTTTTCTTGCTTATCTTCAGCCTAAAATCACAGCAAACAACTATTAAGAACAACTGTGCCAGGTGGTGGTGATGCACACCTTTATCCCAGTACTCAGGAGGCAGAGGCAGGCAGATCTGAGTCCGAGGCCAGCATGATCTACAGAGTGAGTTGCAGGGCAGCCACAGCTACACAGAGAAATTCCATTAAAAAAAATCAAAGTTGTGCAAAGAAAAACAACAAAAGTTTACAACTCTGCCACACTACCAAACACCCACTAACATTCCCCTATGCACATCTATGATTTCTGACAATGGCATGATGGGAAATGCAGCTGGCATCTCAAAGTTCAGCAAACAAACTTCCAATCATGTATTACACAGGGCATGCCCAGCCATGTCTCACTTAAACAATGGTCCATCTGCCTCCCTTTCAAAAAACCAAACATGTACTTACATCCCTCAGTGATTTGCTGATGTTCTTAAGATCCACCTGAAGAATATTTCCAATGATTGGGAGAGGAGTGGGGCCAGGAGGAAGCTTTCTTCTCTGAGAGTTCTGCCTCCATAGTGAAAGGAGAAGCAGACATGCGAGAACAAGCCCCAGAAACACACCTAGAACCATAGCTGCCCTCTCTTCTTACTGACATGAATGCATGCTTACCACATGAAGCTTACATAATGAAGTCTGCTAATACACATGTGAGTCCCTGATCCAAAACAGACCAACCAAGTACAACATTTAATCTCCTCCCAGTGGACTTTGTGCCCACTTGGCAATCACAGCAAAAAGTCTCTTAGCTTTGTTTTCTTTCATTTTCAGGTCCTACTATGGAGGACCGTGTTTTCATTTTGTTGGACTGAAGCCTTTAACTTTGGGGAAACTGTTGTTCGAATGTGTAGTCATAATTGAAAAGAAAAGTGGAAACATGATTTCATCCTAGAAAACCGGGAAAGTTTTCAAATTTCTGGATTCCCAGGTTAATGTTCATTTAGAATGTATTGAAGGAATTCAGTATTTTTTAATTTTTTATTCATTTTGCATACCAACTAGAGTTCCCCCTCCTGGCAATACCCCACCATCTCTCCCCAGCCCAACCACCCCCATCCACTCCTCAGAAAGGATAAGGCCTCCCAAGGGGAGTTTACAAAGCTTGGCACATCAAGTTGAGGCAGGACCAAGCCCCATCCCTGCATCAAGGCTGAGCAAGGCATCCCACCAGCTCATGTACCAGGGATAGATCCTAGTCCCACTGCCAGGGGCCCCACAAACAGACCAAGCCATACAACTGTTACACACATTCAGAGGCCTAGTTCGTTCCCAAGCAGGCTCCCTTGCTGTGGGTTCAGAGTCCATGAGCTCCCACGATGTAGTGATATTTATGATTTACTAAAGCTTGCTTGAGGATTCAGAAAGCAAAGTCAGCCACAAGCTATAGAAGCCAGGCACATACCTTTAATCCCAGCAGCCAGAAACTTGGAGGTGATAGTATACACCTTTAATCCTAGTACTCGGGATTAAGAGGTAGACAGATCTGAGTCCAAGGCCACCCAGATCTGCACAAGAGTGAATCAGTCTAAAAAGAAAATATAGCTCACACCTTTAATCCCAACATTAGGAAGCATATAAGACAGAAGCAAGGTCTCAGAGAGGCATTTGTTCTCCCCAACACTGAGGAGAAGCAGCAGTGGATCAGCCCCTTCAGCCTGAGCTAGAGGTGAGAGATAGTGGCTGGCTACTTTGCTTCCCTGATCTTCAGCTTGAACCCAAGTATCTGTCTCTGGGTCTTTTATTTATTCATGTTACACAATGAGCTTGGTCAGCTGTCTCTGTGGGTGTCCCCACCATGATCCTGTCCCCCTATTGCTCATATAACTCTTTGACTGGACTTCCAGAGCTTGACCCAGTGCTTGGCTGTGAATCTCTGCATCTGCGTCCATCAGTCACTGGATGAAGGCTCTATGATGACAATTAAGGGTAGTCACCAATATGATTTCAGGAGAAAGCCAGTTCAGGCACCCTCTCCACTATTGCTAGGAGTCTTGGCTGAGGTCATCCATGTGGATTCCTGGGAATTTCCCTAGCACCGGGTTTCTCCCTAACCCCATAATGCCTCTCTCTATCAAGGTATCTCTTTCATTGCTCTCCCTCTCTGCCCCTCACTAAACTCAACTATCCCATTCCCTAGTGTTCTCACCCCCTTCCTTTCCCCTCTAACATCCCATTGTACCCAGGAGATCTCATCCATTTCCTTTTTCCTAGGGAGATCTTTGTGTCTCTCTTAGTCCTCCTTTGTGAGGAGCCACACTCACATTCGCCATTACAAGATGGCGCTGACATCCGCTGCCGGATCAAGTAAACAACATTGGTATGCATGTGCCCAGTGTTTTTCCACTTGCCTAGCCCCGCCTATTCCATGGCGTCATATAGGGTGATTAGGGGACGGGATTCTTGGCTCGGGGTCTCCACTCTGTAAGCTTATGCTCTCTCTCTCAAGACGCATTAAAGCTTTACTGCAGAAGGATCCGAGTGTCCTGTGTCATTCTTGCCGGCAAGACGATCTCGAGGGATACTCCTTGTTATCTAGTTTCTCTGAGGCTGAGGATCGTAGCCTGGTTATCCACTTATGAGTGAGTACTTACCAGCTTTGTCTTTCTGGATCTGGGTTACCTCACTCAGGACTATTTTTTGTTGTTGTTGTTCCATCTATTTGCCCGCAAATTTCATGATGTCATTGTTTTTTTTTTTTTTTATTTTTGAGGAAAACCCCCTAAGTGAAATAAACCCACTTTTTTTTACACATTTTTTGTTTGTTGTTTCCAGGTTCTGACTATTATGAATAATGCTGCTATGAATATAGTTGAGCAAGTTTCCTTTGGGTATATACCTAGCAGTGACAATGCTGGGTGTTGAGGTAGATTGATTACCAATTTTTATGTAACTTGACTATAAAGAAATATTATGCTACATAATACTCTAATTTTTCCATTAATAACTAAAAAAGCCTTTCTGTTTTTTTTTTCATTCATTTTATATACTCACCATGGTTTCCGCTCCCTTTTCTCCTCCTGTCCTCTAGCCCCAACCCCCTTCTCCTGCCTTCCATCAGCCGCCCTCCCCATCCGCTCCTGGTCTCCATTCAGAAAGGGGTAAGCCTCCCATGGGCATCAACAAAGCATAGCATCAAGCTGAGGCAGGACCAAGCTCCTCCCTCTGTATCAAGGCTGGACAAGGTAACATAGCATGGAGAAAAGGTTCCCAAATGTCAGCTCAAGTACCAAGAACTGGTCCTGATCCCACTGTTAGGAGCCCCACAAACAAACCAAGCTACACAACTGTCACACACACATACAAAGGGCCTAGGTCAGTCCCATGCAGGCTCCCTAGCTGGTGGTCCAGAGTCCTTGAGCTCCCAGGAGATCAGATCAGCTGTCTCTGCCCCCGATCATGACATTGGCCCCCATGGTTCATAAAATCCTTTCTTCCCTTCTTAAAAAGGACTCCCAGAGCTCCGCCCAGTGCTTGGCTGCAGATCTCTGCATCTGCTTCTATCAGTTACTGGAAGCTCTCTGACGACAATTCAGGTAGTCACCAATTTGATCACAGGAGATGGCCAGTTCAGGCATCTACACTATTTCCAGGAGTCTTATCTGGGGTCATCTACTGCTGCTTGGGGGGCAGCCTCTAGCACACAGGGATGGAAGGGAAATCCATTTTGACTGTGAGAAGGCAGTAGCAACTTGTTTCAGTGCACACATAGCAAGATACTCATACCAGATTAACTGCCAAAAGTGCATATGGAGACTGATTACAATGTACACATCAGAATCATAGGGAAAAAATTATACAATTTTGATAAAAAAAAAAAACATTTTAAGGGCAGACTAGCCCCTGGGCTGGAGATGGGGTATGTGAGAGAAGCTGGGATAACCTGGCAGCTAGGCTGGCTTTGATGTGATGAATGGGCTCCTTAGTCATGTGTCCTGGAACTTAACATGCCAGTCTTTTGTTGAATAATAAATGAGATGCTGACATCGTCCTTGACTACTTCCTCTGACATTAGGGCATTGTTGGGGACCCAAAAGGCTGGAATGTTGATCAAGTTCAGGAAAAACAGACTGCTCTGCTTGTTGTCCAGATTGTCTCAGGACAATCTAGGGCTAGGAACATGCAGACAGCAGTTGGAGCAATCTGTAATCTTTCGTTTATTAAAAATCTGCTGGAACAAATGTATATTAACAGGGAGAAGATGTAGTTAAGGAATTTTTAAGGGGGGGGATTTCTCTTAGGTTTACATTTGAAATTTCCAGGTCCACAGTCCTGACAGACGGTAAAGAGGTGTCCTAAAACCAGGGAAAGGGGAAGAGGTCCCACTCCCTGAAGACTAGAGAGATGGGGAAACAGACTGTTGATTGGTAGTACTTATCTGAGGTCCATTTTGACCTGTGAGAGGTAGTGGGTCCAAGTTGATTTCCTGATGCTGATAAGAATGTTTTTAAGAGGCAAAAGTTGCAGATATGGTAGCATTATTATTGGTTGTAGTCTGTATCAAAATCCATATTATAGAAAAGGCAATAGATGGTGTCTTTGAGTCATAGTAAAGTTTGGAAACATAAAAATGATTTTGGGGGGCTGGAGAGATGGCTCAGAGGTTAAGAGCTCTCCCAGAGGTCCTGAGTTCAATTCCCAGCAACCGCATGGTGGCTCACAACCATCCGTTATGAGATCTGGTGCCCTCTTCTGGTGTGCAGATATACATGGAAGCAGAATGTTGTATACATAATAAATAAAATCTTATAAAAAATGATTTTGGTTAAAAGCATTAACATTTTTTCTTTATCTAGAAGCTTGGGTATATATAGATTAGGCAGATGTTTATAGCACAATGAGAAACATTTTATCATTTTTTATTTGAATTAGAAACAATATTGATTTACATGACAATCCCAGTTCCCTTCTCTCTCCCTTCCTCCCCTACCACCCCCCCAACTAAAACCCTACCTGTCACATATCCTTTCTTCTATTCTTCACCTGACTCAACCTTTCTGTTCCCTCATGACCTCAGCATCCTTCCTCTTCTTCCCTAATGAGAAACATTTTTAACTCTATACTTAGAAAATAACCAAAGGGAATTTAAAATCTTGAACTTGTGACTATGATATTAGCAGCCAGTGTTTACCAGACATAGATTAATAGCTTATCAAAGTTCTATTGATCACTGCCAAAACTATGAACTTTTGAAGTCAATATTAAAATAGCATAGAGATGGAGATGATATTTCAAATAATTTTTATTATTTTTATGTACCTTAAATCATTTTTGTCATAACTTTAGGTTTTATGTCCTCAACCCTTATATAAACTTGTGCTTATATATCTCAAAACACCTTTCGGTACCTTGAAGTATTTTTTTAATCCTCATAGCTTAAACTTTAAAATGTATGCCTTTTTTTCTTTAGTTATTTATCAGGAGACACAGGTGGTTTCCTGAAGTAGTCATTTTAAAACAAGTTCTTTTAAACAAAGGAATAGTAAAAAGTTACTTTGAAACATGTTTGATAAGCTTATTTCTTATTTGGACTCTGGTAGCTAGGCAGATAGTTTTTAGACCTGGAAAGGATGAGT